TAGAGACAGTGATGCAGTGTTCCCAAAGTAGGTTCCAGCCCGTCAGCTGACTGCTTGCTACAGTGGGTCACGTTAGACATAATCAGCTGTGGAATGTCTTCTCTCTCTTTTTTTTTACATTTTTCCACCCTCCCAATTTATCCCTTGCCCTCAAACTAGGATCAGTGTCTTTCTTCTTTTCTATTTCTCTCTTTCTTTGTTTTTTTCTTTGTGCTTAGTCACAAGACTGCAGGGATGGTGTAGAAGCAGCGCTGCATCACGCAACTGTGTCTTGGTTTTAAAAGAATGTCCATTCAGATTTTTCTGAAATGCAAGCCAGTTGTAATGGGTCTTGACCGGAGTGCTGCAATGACAAAAAAAAAAAAAAAAAAAAAAAAAAAAAAAAAAAAAAAAAAATGCATAAATCATAATAATAAAAAAATGCAATGCATAAAAAGAAGAAACCTTTGGGGGTGGAGAATAAGCTCAAATCAAATAAAACACTCATGAGGGATGAAAAACGATAAACAAAATTATCAGAAGAAAGTGGGAGCAATCAAGCAGAAAAAAAAAATAATTAAAATGCGGTAAAAGCATGGCAGCGAAGTACTGGCAGTCACAAAAAGATTCCACACAAGTGTTTTTTTTTTTATATAATTGACTAACGGCCTCACCGGACGCATGCCTAATGTCTTCAAATATTATCCGCTTATGTTGGTAAACTTGTACTGTGCATATCCCCGTTGTGTTGATCACACACAGGACGGCTTACATTCAGTTGTGTTGTGTTTCAAGGTACGGCATCCGTCCCGAGACTGTGATCATCTACGGGCAGAGCATTGGCACGGTGCCCTCGGTGGACCTCGCCTCTCGCTACGAGAGTGCCGCAGTCATCCTCCACTCCCCGCTCACCTCTGGCATGAGAGTGGCTTTCCCTGACACCAAGAAGACCTACTGTTTTGACGCCTTTCCAAAGTGAGTGCAGCCCGACGACAGATGGCATGCGTGTGTAAACAAGGCTGACTGTGGCATTTTTACCGTTGACGCATGCCATCTGTCCTTTTAACAGATAAAAATGCCTATAAAGACAATGGACTGAAATCATTTTCATCTGATTAGCTCAAGAGCCGGTAGAAAATATTGTCAACTGCGCCACCTGCTGGGTAGTTGGTGAAATGCAGTGCAAATATATTTGTATCCCTTTTCGAATTGCAAACACAAACTTTAGGATTGCATTACATAAAGTCCCAATAAAATGCGCTGAAATCCGCAGCAACTGACATTGTCCTCTTTTTCTGTTTTATCGTGAAGCAACTTTTAATCGTTATCTTCTCTAATTTGTTGTCATTTGTTTCTCTTTGGGGGTTTTTGTCTCGCAGCATCGACAAGATTTCCAAGGTGACGTCGCCAGTCCTCTTGATCCACGGTACCGAGGACGAGGTCATCGACTTCTCCCACGGGCTGGCGCTGTACGAACGCTGCCAGCACCCGGTGGAGCCCCTCTGGGTGGAGGGCGCCGGACACAATGACATAGAGCTCTACGGACAGTACCTGGAGAGGCTCAAACAGTTTGTTGCACACGAGCTGGTCAACTTATAGAGCCGCTTGAAATAAGAGAAGCAGGAAAGGAAGCTGCAGTTTTACAGACAGCCTGACTTTATCGTTTTTGAATTATTAAACGGAGAATCGGTGTCTGTCTGTCTGTCTTCAACTGACTCGGTGGCGACTCTCTTCACTTAGTCGAGACGCTCTCCCCCCTCGCTCCCCTCATTTGGCTTTCCACAGGATTACCCTGATCCTTCCCCCCCCCCCCTCCCCCCCACTAGAAACCTCACCTCCACAAAAATCCTTTTTTTTTTGCTTTTAGATCTGCTTATGTTGGACACTGCAGTTTGCGACTGTGATAGGAGGGCGAAGAAGACATGTGGAAGGACAATATTGGAGTTAATACAGTAATTACAAAGTAATTAAGTGTCATATTCTGTTCCTGCCTTATAAGAGAAGGTTTGTGGTTCTTAATGGAGACTTGCATTCCAGGAAATGGCCTTTCTACAGACTAATTAGTCTAAATCGACTGAACTCCATATTATCCTAATCACTGCGTCTGAATATTGGTTCCATCTCCTCTGAGGACTCCCATTTGTGTTTTATTTTTTATTTTTATTTTTACAGAACATGTCAGATTTGCACATATTGTCACTTAAGAGTTGAACTAGACAAACTAACACTTTACCCATCTGTGCCAGTTTTGCCAAATGTTTTAAGACGTTTCAGAACCCTGTGTAAATAACGAAGAGTGCAACTTGCCGTCATCTCCGTGTCTCTGTAAAATGTAAATGGTACAGCTTGGTTATAAATCCTTTAAGTAAAGACAGTGATCAGCAGTGAGAGGGTTTGGTTAAATGCCTGAGAGTTGGTTCTTTCCAGCCACTTGAAAGGAGATTGATTTGAAGTATTGTTGATTTAAGACACCCATCCTCACACTGCTGGACGTAATAGTCCAGCAGTGTGAATGCTGGGCACATCTGTGGACAAAAATCTGACCTTTTGGTAATAATGATTCACCAGTATATAGAAAAAAACGATTATGAATCCCAGTTGTGTGCAAGTTCTGCCTCTGGGTTTTAATGTATCGAAAACGGCAAATAATAATGATATGTCTACTTTATGTAACTGGGTTAGATTATTGTACCTTTTTTTTTTTTCCTAATACACACAGAAACGAAACTACTGTGACAGCTGCTGTCATTTCTAGTCGACCACTATTGCTGTTCAGGATGAATTATGATCACTGCTAGTCTTTGTATGTTTCTCAGTTTCAGGAAGTGGCTAAAAATACTACAATGGGTTATTTGGGGTCGAAGTATTATCATCTTCCTCCAGCATATTTACACTGGACAATTTTTACTCCACGTATGGTTCTCGAGTCTCCACCGTACTGAGACAATGAGCTATTTCAAAGTGATTAGCTCTGCATCCAGGGACTCGGTCATGGCCAAAATGTTTGTGTCAATTTTATCTTTCTTCACCATAACATTTCTGAAATCATTGTTTTTTTTTTTTTGTTTTTTTTTTTGTTCTTCTGCGAGAGCCAAAATAGAGCTCCCGTCTTGCCATCAAACTCTTAAAATGAAAATGTCAAATTGCTGCTGCGTGCCATGGACAGGTTTTCCTTTTTTTTTTTTTTTTTTTGTCTTTTTTGGCATGCAAGCATTCAATTGCAAAAGACATTTCTTTTTCCTTCTGGTTATTTTAAGTCTTTGGACACTTTAATTTTATTTTTTATTTTTTTTGCAGTTAACAATAAGCCAATCGGTGCTACTGTAAAACCTTCAGGTCTGACCGGCTGCCTGCTAAAAGAGCAGAAACAACTAGCTGTTTGTCAGATTGACCAAGATCCACGCCAGGATTGGGGACCTCCTCTTTTTACGCGCTCATGTGTTTTTTCTATTGTATTTTTATTTTGATCTATAAACATTTTTTTTGCTTATTTTTGTTCACTGTAATATGCTCAGAACGTATATTTACAGTTTTTCTTTTTTTTTTTTTTTCCACAAAATTGTTTGATTGGATTTTTTCTTTCTTTTAAAACCCTCGATATGCCAAGGCCGTCACTCGGGCAGCCTTTTGTACTCGCCACTCTGATGGGTGTAATCTGATTTGATTTAGTTTGTATAGGATATTTCAATGCAAAGAAACTATGTATTAACATTAATATAGTAATTCTGATAATGGATAGAGCAAATAAAATTGTATGTGGAATAATGATCTTATTTGTGACTTATTTGATTATATCAGAATCGGTTGACTTTTTTTTTTTTTTCTTGCTTAATTATAAAGGGCCACAAATCAAACGCTGTTCATTTGGCATGAAGTGAGTTTGGTTTCGACCCAGTTCCTCTAGGAACTAAATTATTTCAAAATGTTAATTTGATGTGTGAAAGTTTTAAAAGGTACTCTATAATATGACTGTTTTAGGTTGTGAAGTACCTTTTGTCCCTTCTGAGGACCAGCAGGTGGCGATGTTGCACTAATCTCACTCACTGGACACAAATTCTTTAAATAACTCCTTGGAAACCCATGTTTTCTTTGGAAGTCAAGGAAAAGGGAAATCAACATTCTTAAGGTAGGAAGCAGGAAAGAAATCTCTGCACAAGATAACATTATCAAAAGCTTTATTGTGTAAATATATATATATTTTTTGCTTTGGAACAAAGTAGGTTCCTGATCCCTCTGGCTAAAAATAGTGTTTTTGTTGACATTGACTCAAGTGAAGGGCATTCACTGTTTTGCAGATCACCAACTTATAACTGTAATGCAGAACAAATCACAGTGAATGTGTATTTTTGTGGTGATTTTATGTATGAAATAACAGGTAGTGCTTTGACTGTGAAGTAGAAGGAAAATGAAAGATGGTTTAGAAAATCATTTCCAGATAGAAATCAGAAAAGTGTGCAGTTCATCTCTGTTCAGACCCTGAGGGAATACTTTGCTGGACTTCCTTTCACTCAGATTAAGGCTGTTAGTATTTTGGGAGGCGTTTCTATGAGGTTTGCACATCTAGGACTTAAAATTGTACCTGCTTATCCTTACAAAAATACTCCAGTCAGATTGGATAGAAAGCATCTGTACGGTCCCTGATTTTCTGTCCTTATCGACAGGAACTCGATAAGGACAGTAACAGTTTTTTGTTACCCAAAAACTGTTATTTTTTGGGTAACAGTTTTAAACTGTAGATGACAGTATTGAAATATAATTATTTTATGGGAAATAATGACTTTTGTATATTTTTATGCACACTGCTACTGCTGCCTTTAGTCGACTGCCCACAGAAGACAAGGTTCAGGTTTGAACTTGAGCTAGGCCAGTTTGCATGTTCTCCCCCAGCATGTAACTCATGAGGGGGTCTTTGTTGTTTAAAACTATCGCCACTTTAGTTTTGTGAGTTCAGCAGTGCATGCTTAACTCTGTGTGTCTGTGTGAGCTGGTCCTGTGATGGAATGGGAAACCATCCAAACATCCACAATGACCTCTCATCCACGGCATGCTCCAGTTCACCCGTTCATTTAGTTAAAGCAGATATATATATATATAAAAACAAATACAATGGACGGGGAAAAAAGAGAGGTTTGAAAATATCTGACAGGAGTAACCATAAAATTGACGTTTTAGTACATCACTTAAGTCCATAAACCACGTTCTTCCTATTGTGTGTAGTTTTTTCCGATAGCCCTTAAACGCACCACAACTTCCTTTCTCTCCAAGCCGCGCCTGCTCTCTCTTGGTGGTGTTGGAGGCTGACCGACGGACGAAAGACAGCCTATCAGCAGAAGAAGAAAAAAACATGTGGAAAATGCACATATATAGAGGGAAGTAAAACCCAGTAAACTTCCTTGGCAGATAAGTTTTTCACTCTTCTTATCAGGACGGGGTGTTTTGCTTCTTATATCGGTTCGCCTGAGAGCGAATGGACAGAGCGGTGAAGGAGCAGGACAGCCTCACCACCAGCGGTAGACCTCAACCGTCCACACGGCCGTCTACATTGTGTCTGTGTCCGTCCGTCAACCATTGGGGGTGGAAGAGGATTCACCAGGTGAGCCTTTCAGTTCACGGTTGTTTTTGTTTATTTATTTATTTTTCTCAGGGGAGTGGTACTTCCTAACAGCTCTCAAACTTCACCAAGAGGTGACAACTAAACGGCGTGTTGCTACGTGTCCCACACTCGTTCCTGCTGGTAATTTTTGGCAATAAAAATCCCCTTTGCCTCATAGGTTTTTTATTTATTTATTTTTTAAACAGTTCCTCTTTTGTGATGCATCAGTTAGCAAAGCTCTCGGTTTTATCCCTATATCGCCCAGCTGCCTATTTTATTGCGGGAAGTGTCACGTTAGCCAAAAAACAATCATATAAGTTGTGACTCCCCATTTACAGAAGCAACTGACCCCATCAATAAAACACATCTCATGTCTCAACGTGGACCAGAGCCGCTCTGAAGATATTAAAGAGCGGTGACAGCGCAGACCCAGTTACGGTGAGGAAACACATGGTTCTAGGTATGTCACGAATAGACATCCAGAGAGAGACTTTTACAGCTGAGGAATGCTTTTGTCCGTCCGTCTTTTACTCTCAGTGACCCCCACCCTCACATCTTGATATTCAGTAGCTTTTAAATCAGATAAATATTAGCGGTGAGCTGATTTCGCCCGGAGCTGTGCAAACCTCTGATTAATGTGTTTATGGTGAGATCACAAGAGGCAGCTGATCTGATGCATTAAACACGACTTCTAGGGTATTTTTATGCTGATTTTCATATTTATTCACATTATTATTATTATTATTATTTAATGTTGTTGCTTGTCTTCTGGTTTCAGCAAAAACGAGGTGCACCCCTCTCCAATGCTTTGAGAACTGACAATTTAATGTTGTTGTTTTTTAAAGATGCACAGCTTGAATCAAGAACACAATACCCATAAGGTGGTGGCAGCATTATGCTATGGCTATGTTTTTCAGCAGCAAGGGCTGGTGAACTGGTCTGAAAGGGATGTTTGTGAGCAAAACCTGTTTCATTTGGTCAGTGCTTTAAAACTGGGACGAAGGTTCACCTTCCAACGGGACGATTATACAAGCATGCTGGGTGTGTCGTTTGCTTCACAAATGAAATGTTTAAAAGTTGTAGGCATGTTCTGTTAATGAAATGATTCAACCCCTAAATTTAAATGACGCGTCTTCCATGCTGTGAGGTAGCAAAACACACACACAAATAAATGCTAAGGGTGTGAATACTTTCACAAGGCACTTGTCATGAAATTAGTAGACTACAAACCTGACTAAAATGATTCGCAATAGTTAAAGTACATGGGTACTAAATGGCATGTTTGTGGGTAGTAAATGGAAGTGGAAAAGGATTAAATGAAATCAAAATGTATTAACACCAATTACCGGTAGATTGGGGAAAAATTCAAACAATAGTATTTGAAGCAATTAAAGTTTTGAAGACAATTGTAACTCTAGAAGTTGAACTCTGGGTTAAACACAATGCTTAAAACCTTAAAATCCCAAATGTTTCACAATCTACGTAGAAATCTGCTGTACAACATATCAAGTCACAATGCAAATGTGAGCAAATTTCACAACTGCAAATGAATGGATGCAATATCTGGTAGGATATTATCTTTCATCTGCCGTGGCCTCTTGATTTTGTGCAGCCCTAGTTTTCACCAATGCCAGACGATCAAATTGACTTTTGTACCTCATGTGATGCCATCCTACCAAGTACATAAAAGGAAAGTTTGTATTTTTTATTTATTTGTTTATTTTTATTTTTATTTTTTATTTTTTTAAGTCTTGCAGTGATTATCCGTATTTCCTTACCCAGATGTGTTTTACAGTCCATGTAAATTCGTTAGTGGGAAGAAAATACACATTATAATGGGATCCTCAGGCTGGAGAGAGTGTACATCCAAAACATAATGCCATCATTGTACCTCTGCCTCTGACAGCCCCGCTGTACGTAAGATGGATGGTTCTTGATATGTACAATAAATGTTTTATACGTGTTGCAAGGGGAATGTTGACGTAGATAATCCAGAGAGTGTTGCGCCTGGTTTATTTCGTGGCTTGCATTAATCACAGGGCTATTGTCTTACTTGCCCCTTATTGTGAACTGCTTTGTTGAGGACTTGAAGAGGTTTGTTTGTTGCTCTTGAGCAAAACAATGACTAATTTACTCATCAAGACAATGGCTTTTTTGTTGTTGTTGTTGTTTGTTTGTGTGTGCTAATTGGTCAGCGCGATGCGGCCTTTCTAGATTTCATTGAGGCCGTTTTCGATCGTCAGTAGAGAGAACTTTCCTGCTCTCTTTTAGGACTCCGATATTAGAAAATCTTGCAATGCTGTGTTGATAAATATTGTGATTGTGATATCAGTTGCGATAAATGCCCATTTTCTTCTTTCCTCTCTCTCGCTCATCTGTGCTTCTATCACTCTGTGACTTTTTGCATTTTGGACAAGGTTATTGTTTTCTAGTATGAGCGTCTGCACCTGTGAATGTGTAATGAGTCAAATCTCCCTCATATATTCACATCTACATTTATCTTTGACTGTCCTACTCATCAAGTTGTAAGATACAAACTTCTTTACAACGTATTTGTGTGTATCAGGTTTGATAAAGAGGTTGTCAAACAGGAAGAAACACAATTTTTTTGTCTTCTTTCAAGGGTAAACTGCAACTAGTGACTGAACAGTTGATAACATTACTTCTGATCTTCCTTCCCGAGAAAATTTAATCTGTTGTATACTTAACATACTAATTAGAAGCTTCTTGACGCACAGACGACTTTGTTTATTCACAGTTAGGCTGGGCTTTAGATTGCTCGTCTGGGTATAAGTGTATATAGGAAAAGAAGGAAAGTGGTTGTAGTGTTTAGTGAAAGAGTGCATATTTTTGCACTCCGAGTAGAGTGGAAAAGTAACATCTTGCCAATATTAAACTATTATTTTTTAAATGTAAGAATAAAAGTGAGCTAAGAGCATAGATTCCAAAAGGAACTTGACAACTTTCATCCACTTTTCTTTAAAAAATAAAATAAAATAAAACCACTTTAACTGTGATTTTGCCACGGCATCTTCTTTGCACAGCCTTCTTCAGATCACACCAATGATTTTTTTCAATCTGATTCTGGTTTGGAGTCTGGTTAGGTTTTTCTTACTGAAACCATAACCTTTTACTTGCAAAACCACTCTTTTGTTGATTTGGTGTTGGGCCTTTTAGTCATTGTGAAAGATGCATTTCACCCTCAGCTTTGAAGCAGAAGTCTGAAGGTTCTGTTGCAACATCGACTGGGCAATTTCTGCATGCGTCCTGACTAAGCACCTAGTTACATCTGTATAAACAAGTTTCCAAAGTATGAAGTTGATATGCTTTTTGTTTTGTTAGACCACATATTACCTTTTGAAATGTCCCAAAGATGTTCAGTTTTGCGTTTATCATCGTAAGATGTGTATTTGGAAGAGGTTTTTATGAAATTTTGTAACCCTTGTACGTTATTATTCATAATAGGCTTTCTTCTAGCTACCTTACCCCAAGCGGATACTCCCAGAACATGAGATTCTTATCACATGTAGTACAAGACCGCTACTTGCATCTTGCAGCTCAGTTACTATGACTTGTAGGCCTCTTGGTGCACTCACTGACCAGTTTTTTGTCTGGACCTTTATTTAATCTTAGAGGGATGTCCAGTTCTTTGTAATGTCATGATTGCGCTAAGTTTTCTTTATCTGATTGTAAATCTTTTCTATCTCATGCCTTTAAAATGCATTTGCATGTTTAGATCTTTTAGAATCTCCGAGGGATCATAATTTTTGACTAAGAAAATGTCAGGATAAGCCTGGAAGAACAGCGAAAGTTTATTCAAGATTAATGACACACATTAAATGAGAGCATATGTGTATTGATATACTTAACATGGGTTTGAATGTGATGATTATTTCTGAACACATCCACATCTCCTTGAGATGCACACTTATGGGACCAGTATATTTTAGGTCTTTTGTTTCCCCTTTTTCCTCTTGAAAGCTCTCAGATTGTTTTTCATTTGAGGTTTACAGATGACCTTAAAGGTGGAGAAAGTTCAGCAAAATATTTATCTTCTTTTTTTCTTTTTTTTTTTTTTCAAACCGCAAGATCTTGACATTTCAATTGGGGTGTGTGTACATATTTTTATATCCAGTGTATGCTAAGTGTTTGCTCCTGCCCATTTGACCTCTTTATGTTTGCATGTCTCATAATCTGGCAAAAGTCCGTTTGCACACTAATAAGGCTGTCCCGCCTCGTCCCTGGGAACGAATGAGGGGCTCTCCCACTCTTCAAAAAATATTTGCGCAAAGTTTTGGAATAGGAGTTAGACTATTTTCGAGGAATTAAATTCCTTAGGACATTATTTTAAGATGATGATGATGATAAAGATGTGTACCTATCCGTGGCCTCAGTTTCTTGGCGTTGTGTTCTCCATTTATGCTAAACAGTCGAGCTCCAGCTGAAGCGCTCTCCCTCTTCCCCACAGTAATTGGTGCCATCTGTTTGGCTGTGTTTTGGTGTTTGGAATGCTCTGTTATGTTGTGATCCATTAATGCTGACAAGAGCAGCCAGTGTCATCCCGCTCTAGACAAATCATCCAAGAAGAAGTTTGCCGCTGATGTGACAAATTACCTTGTGTTTTAAAAATCAAGTCCAAGGATATTAACCTTTAGCCCCCAAACTTAGTGGTTAGTGGGGGATTCTCTGATTGTCCTAGCCCTTAACTCACACCCCCCAGGGTCCTTTACCTCCTACTGTTTTCCTACTCACTTCTAATGTCTGTTCTTCTTGTGTTTACCTCTACTTTGACCTTCTCTTTTTCAACTCTGTTTATTCCTCCATTTTATTGTCTGGTTTTTTTTAACAACTTTTTATCTCTAACCTGTCTGAGTGTAAGAATTATGAATTGTTTATATGACTAACAACACTTGTTTTTTCGAAAATGATTCCTTTCAAAAGATTTCAGTCCACTTAATTGTTTATACTTTTTCTATCAGTTGAAAGTTGAATGTCATAAGTAGACCTGAAATCAGGAAATATATTTTTCCTAACTCTATTCATCTCTCTTGTTCTTTTTTTGTTTCCGTCCTCAGATAAGCGGACAGGAATACCATGCCGACGAGTGATTGCCCAGGCCGCATCCCCACATTTGTGGCTCCATCTCACAGCAACCATCAAAGGTGTCCAGGTTACATTCCCGGTCGGGTGGCTCCAGTCCGCTCGCCTCCACCTGCCAAAGCTCCACCACCTCCGCCGTTGAAGCCACATGGCCTGCGACTGGAGCAACGAACTACGCCCAGCCTGTCAGTGGAAAGTCAGCACAGAGGTCCTTCTCTGAACGTATGGCAAAGGAAAAACACTCTTATCTTCTGCGGACTCTCGCTGGGGGCTTTCGTTTTTACACTTATACTTGCCCTCAGTCTCGCGAGTGGAGACAAATTAGATGGTTAGTATTGCATGTTTTCTTTTTCGGGGTTTTCTCAAAATTTGTCAAATTCCTACTGTTTGGGTTTCTAATGTTTGTGATCGATTGTACTCTCAGAAAACTGTCCAGACCACCACTTATCCCTGAGCAAGTGGAATCCAGGTCACCAACCAAACAACGATATTCTTATCCGTAGGGGGGATTTGTATAGACTGGAATCTTCCGCCACCTTTCGTTCGCTTACCATCCAATCAGGAGGTGAGACTGTGATGTTTGCATATTGTTTTGCATTCTTCAGCAAGCAATTTTATTTATAAGACGCATTTCATTTGATTTCTCACAGGTCGTGTAGTGTTTGCTGACAATGCAGATGGAAGCAGAAACATAACATTGAGAACACATTACATCCTCATAGAAGATGGCGGTGCCCTTCATATTGGTTCACCTAAATGCCGCTACCGGTCCCGTGCCACAATCGCCCTCTTAGGTCGCTCGGACAGCAAAGCTGTTCCCGAAATCCCTGTCATGGGCCACAAGTTCATCGGTGTCATGGGCGGCGGAACTCTAGAGCTGCATGGCACAGAACGTGTTTCCTGGTCTCTGCTGACCCGAAGCATCCCCGCGTCCGGGCTTTCCACCGGAGGCTATGCCTTCCAGAAAAACTTCAGCCGTGGGATCAACTTCCGGGTGTTCGACCAGGACACATCTGCTTTGATCTACGCCGAGCGCTTTGACACCCACAACTCTCGGAACGACAGTCGGAAACTCACTCAGCTGCTCCGCTCCCTGCCGGCGGGTCGCATAGTCGCGCTGGCTGTCGGGGACTCTGCGGTCAAGGGGTTGCTGGAAGAAACCAAGAAAGCCTTTAAAGAGGTGCTTGGCAGCCAATTTGCCGACGATCTTAAATACAGGTAACAACACATTACCAGCACGGTTCATGTCTGGATTCCTCCTGTGGGAGCCATATTGGCTTTTAAGCTTTTTGAAATTATGTTCTGGCAAGTGTCTCACAAAGACCTCTGCTTCCCTAATGAGTGTGGAGTGGAAACGTCTTTAGGAGTGTCTTGTTTACTCTCAGTCTCCTGGGCCTGATAAGGAAAGTGATTGTTTTTTTTGACAGCTAAAGTAAACACTTCCACTTTTGAACCCTCTCTACGTAGAGGACCAACATTTTGTTCCACACATATCCTCAGTGGAAAAAATGATGCCCCCCTTTCATGTACCATTGCATTTAACGTGTTCACTTGAATCTTTCCCAGTTACTTGTCTTCCTGTTTCCTGTGCCTTCTCGCTGTATCGCACTGCGCCAGAAAAAGGAAGCGCACACAGGATAAGAGGGTTCAGATCAGAGGTTGGAGCATTTGCACAAAATCTGGCAATTCAGGGGAATCTGTGTTCCATATGGTTATTATCTCAGAAGAACAGAAAGAGAAATGTTCATTGTCGGTAGTTCTGTCAGTAGGAGGTGATGGGTTTTAAATTAGCTTTCAGTGGCAGATATCTTGTTACTATCACTCAGGTCCAAGTATGTACAAGGTCACCGTTTCCCATAACTGTGTGATTTGCGCTGAGGTCCTCAGATGCCTTCAGTGTCACATTTCCCATTTGGAGGTGAGTGCCAGAGCATTGCGGTTTCTGACCATATTCCCCTTAAACCCACTCCCACTTTAGAGTAGTTTACATGAGTCACATAATCATGTTTATTCTTAGAGGTGCTTATTTACTAGCAGTAGTTTAGTTTTTCCATATAGAGCTCTGACAATGTATATACTCCCTAACACGTTTCTTCAGTTTGTTTGTTTTTTTCTACATCTACATTTTTAAGATCATTAGAA